CGTAATTTATCTCCAATATGGGTAAGACACAAGGAGCTGAATAGGAAGCTAAGACTTCATATAACATGAGACCCACCTGCACTCATAGGTATGACAGTACAAATACATCACACAATACAGGTTATTCTGTAATTCTTCATGCTGTTTCCCTCCATTATGCTTGCCAGACAAGAGTTGAGTATGTAGAATCGTAAAGTTCACAGGTTGACCTAAGCCTAGGCAAACTAACAAGAATCAGAGTTCACATTACCAATCCCTAAGAGCCTCCTAAATCCTCCTATAATTACAGGCATTCGTGTTGGAACAAGATCCAACCTATTGTCTTTTTAAGTGTTTTACTCATTAAGAAGCAAGCAAACAACAACCTTGTTGGAATTAATGTCTTAAATTCTACCTTACGGGAGGGAAACACTCTTTATAATGTGAGGGATAATCCCACTAAGCATATTGGCAAGGAGTTCAGTCGTGCTCCTCTTTTCTTTTGGGGGAAGGAAATTCTTAAATACACCTTCGCAACCACAGCGAATATCATTGCATTATTATGTAAGGCAAGAAGGCCTTCAAGTGGGAGTGATGTATAGAAATATAAAAATACTAAGATATTCAGATATTCTGATTTTGCCTTTTCACATACTGCTTTTTAAGAAAATAAATATTCACCTACCTAGTGAAACCCAGATACCTATGCCTACCTAGGAACCCTCTCTGGCCAGTTCTTTTCCCTCTGTAAAATGGAAATAAAAAGCTACTCTCACACATCCACCACCTCCGCTCAGATACTTTCTGTTGATACATAGTTTCCTCAATTCCAAGATGCACGGTTTCCATATGCTTACGTTTCTGAAATAGGAATGCATCTTACAATTGATGTATATATTGAATATAGTGTTTGTCACAAAATGCTGGGGTGTTTTTGTTTTTTTGAGATGGAGTCTCACTCTGTCGCCCAGGCTGCAGTGCCATGGCGTGATCTCGGCTCACTACAACCTCTGCTGCCCAGGTTCAAGTGATTCTCCTGCCTCAACCTCCTCAGCCTCCCAAGCAGCTGGGACTACAGGTGCCTGCACACCCAGCTAATTTTTATATTTTTACTAGAGACAGAGTTTCACCATGTTGGCCAGGCTGGTTTGGAACCCTGACCTCAGGTGATCCAGCCACCTCAGGCTCCCAAAGTGCTGGGATTACAGTCGTGAGCCACCACACCCAGCCAAAATGTTGTTATTAAGTAAAATGTTTTAGTGATGCAGGATTTTTCTCAGCGGCTTAGCCAGTCGGAAACCTCTGAGGCGGGCGACACCCCTGCTCAGGCCCTGGGCTCACTGCAGGAGGCACCCTGTCCAACTAACTCAACCAGCTGCTCTTGGCTTAAGCTCCCACCCAGATCCAGTGCTTGTGGTGGGATCCACACTCAGCCCACAGCTGGGCTGACCATGCCACGACCTGCTTCCACCTTGAGCAATGGTGTCTGGATGGGGGGGAACATAGTGACACACAAACAGGGATGCCAGCAACTCCAAGCCCCAGAAGGGGTGTTACAGCATGCTAACAGCTTTTAGTCCCATTGCCTCGCTCCAGCCCACAGCCCCCCCCCCCCGCCCCCCCCCCCCCGGGGTGGCCTGGCCCTGCTACTACTTCCCTTCATGTGTGGGGGCTGCCCTCCACCGGTGGAGGGTGGGGACACAGTATTACAGCCTTTTTCTTACCCGCCTTCAGGCGGAGGGGGACTACTTGCCTTAGGGTGGCAGTCTACTCTCTTCGAGTCCCCCCTCTACTAAGAGCTGTTCCATTCCTCAGTGTTCCATTATCTGTCCTTCTCACTCTTCAGTTGTCAGCATAACCTCATTTTTCTTGGATGCAGGACAAGAACTCAGGATCTGCCAAATACGGGTACAAAAAAGGCTGTAACACTGTGGCCTTCTGCCTGTGGCTTGTGCCTGCAGCAGTCACACAGGATGGGAAGCAGCAGCCAGGCTGGGCCAGCCCTGGAGTGATGGGTCTGAATGAGCTGTAACATGGGCGGGCCCAGGCACCAGGCTGAGCCGGGCCCAGGCGGGGGCATTGCCATCCTGCCTCACTAGAACCCAGGACATTTATTGCCCTCGTGGTCATAAAAATCTCTCTCCTCATGAAAATGAATTTTTTTACAGTGAAAAGTCCCATGGCCTTGTTTCTCATAGCAGGTAAAGAAGCACCAAAGAATTCCCCGGCACTAACGATTAAAGCTATGCCCTCTGAGATCTCACTGTAAGTGTCTTTCGGCCTGGACTTAGCTGTACTGCTTGTCAATCCTAGCTCCTCCAAAGGCTGCCTCTGCAATTGCACCCCAGAACCTCAGCTTTTAAAATGTTTTTTAATCACTCACTTCCTTTCCCTGCCCTCTTACCCCTTCATTCCTTCCCCCTCCAGACATTCTCCTCTGGCAATGCATGTTTATCTACTTGTTTTCTTGGTTAAAAAAATTCCAGAATCCATCTTGAAACAAACCAGATGCAGAGCCCCAATTGCAGAATCCTCATGCTTAGGGGGAATCGCAAACAATTTCTCCACTACTGTTGAGCTGAAGTCAAGATAATGCCAACCAGACCTTCAAACAGGCAATTACCCAAGATAGCCATCGAAACAAGACACAGAGACCCTGTATCCTGCACCACTCCCACACGGCTCCCATACATTTCCCCCTTAAAAACCCTATGGTAAATTTTAAATTTTAAGGTGGTACTTCAGAACACTAGTTCACCATCTCTCTTTGCTGGCTCTCTGATTTAAACCTGCTTTTCCTCCCACCAACCCTCACTTCTTGTCCTCTAGAAGTCACTCAGCCCCTGTGGCCTCAATTAACCTAACTGCAAAAGGTAGCAAAGCAACGCCCATTTCATAAGGGTATTAGGAAATTACATGAAATCATTCCTGTAATCTTAGCAATTTGGCAGTGATGTGGTACGAGCAAGTACTCAACAATGTTAGCTATCCTTTTAACTAATACATGAATGACTGCAGCTAGGTAACTAAGCATAAGTGGAAGTCATCTTCTTAATTGGTAAACACTGATTCAGAGAAAGGTAAATATAGTAAACAAAAAAATTACGTTCTTAGAAAAATGGAAGAAGGGTAAGAAGAAAGATGTGGGGAAGAAAATGGGAGAGAAATAAGAAATATACAGGCTGTGTTTATAGATATTTGACTTTTTGTACATTTATGCATTTTTTATTGCACTTTAGGTTCTTATAGATATTTGACTTAACAAGAGGTCAAAGAGTAAATTTGGACCCAGAAAATGTACCAGATAGGATACAGGCTAAACTGCTGTCACTTTTGAGTAATTATAATTGTAACTGCTGAGAGTCCAATAATTCAGTGGCTCAAACAAAATGCACAATTATGCTCTTTCACATACAGGTCAAAAGGAAGCCTGTTCTACAGTGTGAGTCGTGGGAGGGTGGCTCTGTTTCTCAAGGCCATCAGTGAGCCAGGTTTCCTCTGTCTTGTTGGCCTTCCACCCCCTGGAGTGCTGCTTTCCTCCCAATTAGCAAATCTGGTTTGCCAACACAATGTCTGCCTTCCAGGTGTGGGCAAGGGACTAAAGAAGATTGGAGAGCCATCAACTTGCTGTTTTAGCCACGGGCCACACCAAGCTGCAGGGAGATGGGAAGTGTGGGCCGACTTACCTAAAGGAAAAAGGGGAGAGTGGCTGCTAGAGAAAGGCTCTGGCCTTGGGAGTGGGCATCTCACTCTAGAGAGCCTGATCAACAGGGTTGCTTTTCCCTGGTATCTGTATTCAATTAACCAAGTAAAACAGGTGTGGACCATCAGAAAATGGCCTCTCCCTGGAACTCACTGCCACTCACCCATTTCTGGTGGGGGAGAGCCCTCTCCTGCCTCCAATCATGCCTAAGTACCTGTAGCAAAATGGGAATTGTGACAGTTGCTCTTTTTTTTTTTTTAAGAGACACAATGACATAGTATGACCTTCTGGGGACACTACACTGGAAAAGGGAAGAAAGCCTCAGATGGGCATGCGTACAGCTTCCTAAACACACTGCACATGCTCACTTCCTGAAGGTAAGGAGGGCAGCCCACCCTAAGGGAAGAATCATGGGAAAGAGGTGTCAGATGCTGGAAGTGGGCCAGCCTATAAAGTCCTAGGATTAAGGTTAAACATTGCACTTGTTCTTCAAGTAACCCACTTGGATCTCTTCTAAGTGTGCTTTCTTGTCTTTCCTGTTCTAAAGCTTTTTAATAAACTTCCACTCCTGCTCTGAAACTTGCCTCAGTCTCTTTTTCTGCCTTATGCCCTCAGCCAGTTCTTTCTTCTAAGGAGGAAAGAAATGAGGTTGCTGCAGACCCATACGGGGTAACTCAGATACATTTCCACTGTTAACAATTTTACATAAACTTTTAGAGATATGTTATCATTAGCTCAGAGTAACACAACTAGTAAATGGTAGAGTCAAGGTTCATACTCAGGTCTTTAGACTTGTAAATCTATTGAGGCAGTAAGCGACAGTGCCCAAGACTGCCCCCAAACCTGGTCTCTTTTCCACCCCACCAAATTACCTCACAATCCCACTGCTTCCTTGTCACACCACATAGGATGTGTGTGGAAATCTATGAACCCAGGAGAGAACTGAAGTTTCATTCTGTGAATTTCTAGTAGAAAAATTGCATGCCAAAAAGGTGGAGAGGTGGGGGTGGGGGGGCAAAAAAAAGAAATAAAAATGTCATGCCTGATTAAATGCCTATTATTAGATATTTAATATATATATTCTCCTATTAGGAGATTCCACTCTTACTTTCACTGGGCAGGTTGCCTAAATGGTCACGTAATCAACCCTGGGGGTAATTCCCTGATCCTCAGCCCGTTTTGCACCTGTGGTTTAGCTTTTGCCAGGAGGATATGCAAAAGTGAGGGGTGGGGTGGATGAGAATTAAATGATAGCTTTTATTAGGTGACTGGGAGGAGCCCTTTATTCCAGCCCCTGCATAACTCCATTAAAAGCAATCACTACCTGTGGACACTCACAGAACAGGTTCATTAGCAGGGAGCCACCATGGCCGATAAGTCCAAATTTATTGAGTACATTGATGAAGCTTTAGAAAAATCTAAAGAAACTACACTTTCTCACTTATTTTTCACCTATCAGGGGATTCCTTACCCCATCACCATGTGCACCTCAGAAACTTTCCAAGCGCTGGAGACCTTCGAAGCCAGACATGATGACATTGTGGTAGCATCTTATCCAAAGTGTGGTAAATAACAAGGCTTTTCCTACAAGTACACTTCTCATAGTGAGTAGGTTGGGGAGGGTGTGAGACAAAGGTGGGATGAAGGCGGTTCCTCACTGCAGGAATCTGGCTGGGCATCAGTGAGGAGGAGGGCCACTGCAGTTAAGTACATAGGTTGTAAAATCAGTAAATAGAACTGCTAGATTTAAAAACCCCAGGGTCTGCAGGAAGAGCTCTGTGCGGAAAGGCCATGATGGAGAATGGATGGCAGGCCTGGAAGGGAGGAACATGAATGTGGGAAAGTCCAGTTGGCAAAGAGGAGTGACAGTAGCAGCAATTTTGTCTCGATTTCTGACTGGACTACAGTACAGCCACTTCTATAATTTACATGATGATTTTCATGTAATAAATTATTTTTCAGGATCAAATGCTACTCCTTCAGTTTCTCAAATGACTTTACAAAGATCATTCACTAATGGAAAACAAGACACGAAGAATCTAAATTATCCTGCTTTCTACCATCTGCTTTGAATTCTTTCTACTGTTGTTTGTTAAAGCCAACCTCATTTAATATTTTTTCTTTTTTCTTAGCTGATGCTGTATTTTCAAAAAATTATAGATTCCTGTAGAAAATATGTACTGATTTAATGTAAAATAATATGTTTAACTTGTAATAAACAATTTCTATAACATAACAGTGTTCTATAAGAAACATATTCTGTATTCAAAATGAAGTATTGTCCCTTGTTAAAGGAGACACCTGAGAAATAAATTGAATTTTATATTAATATAGGTAAATGCTGTTTTCTGTTAAACTATTTCTTTCCATAGCCCAAGTTGTTGCAAATACAGAAGAACTAAATATACACATCAGAGAATGGTTGTAGATTTTAATTTTTATTATGTGTATGCTAAAGTAGCATGCTTTTGTTATATTAAGACATCATAATGAGCTTTTATTCTCAATTTTTCTAATAGGTTCAAACTGGATTCTCCACATTGTCAGTGAATTAATATTTGCTGTTTCTAAAAAGAAGTATGAATATCCAGAATTCCCAGTTCTTGAATGCGGGGATTCAGAAAAATATCAGGTTAGTACAAATAGCCTTTAACCTTATGGCAAATTATCATAGAAATATTTCTTCTGGTTTGGAGATTCTTTAGTTTTCAGTTTATAAAGTACAATACTAATAATTATTGCAATTTACTGTGTGCTTATCATATCCTCGGCACTTTTCAGGTATTATCTCATTCTATTGCAAAATAACCTTATTACCGTCTCACAAAAGATAGAACTGCTAGGGTCTTGCCCAGGGTCAAGGAACTAATAAATGATGGAGCCAAGATTTGAACCCAAGCTTTCTAATTTGAGCTCTTAACAACTGTACTGTATAGGCAGAACAAAAATAGGCAGCCTGTTTTTGTTCTTTTTATTTTAAGTAGGGGAAAAGTAAGCTGAGAAACCTCAGGAAATGAACAGAAGAGCCTCATCTCTGAAGACACGGACCTGTGCAGGATGCTAATCACCAGTCTTTTTCTAGTAAGGCATGATTTTTTTTTGAAATGGAGTCTCACTTCATTGCCCAGGTTGTAGTGCAGTGAGTATGATCATGGCTCACTGCAGCCTGGACCTCCTGGGCTCAAGCGATCTTCCTGCATCACCCTCCTGAGTAACTGGGACTACAGACATTTGCCAGTACACCTGGCTAACTTATAAAAAATTTTTTTTTGCAGAGTCAGGGTTTCATTTTGTTGCCCAGGCTGGTAGTGAACTTCTGGGCTCAAGCGATCCTCCTGCCTTGTCCTCTCCAAGTGCTAAGATTATGAGCATGAGCCAGACATGATTTTGATTTTCCTATCTCAGTTATGATTCGTGTGTGTGTGTAAGGGACGGGAAGGAATCAAGCATCAGCTAAGAGAGTAAGTCACTGATGTGTGTCACGGGGATAACGGTCGCTCTAGCTGTTATCACTCACCTTTCCAGATTTTACACTGCAACTCACAACTGGAACTTGGGTGTGAGGCAGGATGTTCTACTCCCTGTCCAGGGAATGCAAGTAAGGTGTGGGAGGAGGGTCTGCCTCAGGACTTCAGTGCTTGCACAGAACAAGAACAAGGAAGACAGCCCCTCCCCACTCCTAGACATGCCAGAATGCAGCGGGGAAGGGAAGGCTGAATTCAAGGGGGAGCTACAGTCTCAGTAAAACTTTCTTTTTTTTTTTGAGACAGAGTTTCGCTCTTGTTACCCAGGCTGAAGTGCAATGGCGCAATCTCGGCTCACTGCAACCTCCACCTCCTGGGTTCAGGCAATTCTCCTGCCTCAGCCTCCCGAGTAGCTGGGATTACAGGCAAGCGCCACCATGCCCAGCTAATTTTTTGTATTTTTAGTAGAGACGGGGTTTCACTATGTTGACCAGGATGGTCTCGATCTCTTGACCTCGTGATCCACCCGCCTCGGCCTCCCAAAGTGCTGGGATTACAGGCTTGAGCCGCCGCACCCGGCCTAGTAAAACTTTCAAAACTCCCAACAGACAGACAGAACTCAGCTACTACATAAAACCACTGGACTAGGACTTAGGGAACAGTATCTGGAAGATGACTGAGACACTGGTATAATGCCAAATGCAAACTTGAAAGTTGGAATCTAAATGGAAGGAAGCTCATTTCCGTGGATTAGGCCAAAGTAGCAGGAATATACCTGGTAAAGGAGATAGGTGTTCAGAGAGTCGGGAAGGGCGGTTTGGGGGTGAGTGCTGAGTCCTGGATCTGGATGGCAACAAAGGACCTGGGAGGGTCACCTGTACCAAAGCAAATCTGATGAAGGCTCAGCTAAGACAGGCCTAGGAACACTGGCATAGGATGGGCCAGCAGGGGCAATAAGAAGCTTTGTCCTAGATAGGAAAGAAAGGAAAAGGCCCATAGACTTCCGTTCAGGCCTTTGCATAACCTTTTTCTAAGGAAACTGCTTAAAATCATCTTTAGTAATGATGCCAACATTTATCCAGCTTTCAATTTTTCTTCTTTCTTTTTGCAACAGAACATCCAGACTGGAGGGCAGTGGTATGATCTTGGCTCACTGCAACCTCCATCTCCTGGGTTCAAACAATTCTCTTGCCTCAGCCTCCCAAGTAGCTGGGATTACAAGCGTGTACCACCACACCTGGCTAATTTTTTGTATTTTTAGTAGAGATGGGGTTTCATCACATTGGACAGGCTATTCTCAAACTCCTGACCTCAAGTGATCCACCCGCCTCAGCCTCCCAAATTTCTGGGATTACCTGCATGAGCCACTGCCCCGGCCAATATGTCTTTTATTTTTAAATGGAAATCAGTGAAATGAACTTCACTTAACAATTATTTGCTTAACAGAGAACTTTTCTGGAATACATATTTTTCCTAAATAAGGTATCTAGTTGGCTGGGCACAGTGGCTCACACCTGTAATCCCAGCACTTTGGGAGGCTGAGGTGGGCGGATCATGAGGTCAAGAGATGGAGACCATCCTGGACAACATGGTGAAACCCCTGTCTCTACTAAAAAATACAAAAATTAGCTGGGTGTGGTGGCATGTAGTCCCATGTAGTCCCAGCTACTAGGGAGGCTGAGGCAGGAGAATTGCTTGAACCCAGGAGGCAGAGATTGCAGTGAGCTGAGATTGCGCCACTGTACTCCAGCCTGGTGACTGGTGACAGAGCGAGACTCTGTCTCAAAAAAAAAAGGTGTCTACTCTTGCTTACTTTTGGGATTTATTACACATTTGAATGAACATAGTAGCATATATTATATAGCCATCTAATTTTGTTACAGTTGACTTCCATTTTTCCCTTGGGTGCTTTTCTAATCTTCTTAGTAACTTTCAGCTGTGCAGTTTAGCGGCAACCACACTCTATTACTTAATCTGAAAATAACCACCTGTGCAATTTTGCACAAAGTGCTTAAAACCTCAAAGCCTGTTTTTAATCTCTAAAATGGGGGTTAGATTATCTTGAGAGGATTGTTGTGAATGAGTATGAAAATGCTTCAAATGTTTAAAAGTACAATTAGGTGTAAATCAGATTTTACGCTGCTAGTCACCACTTAGGCCCAAAGCATTCATTTAAATTGTGTTTTATTTTTAAATTTTCATTTTTTGCCCCCTTGCTTGAGTTGGGATCTCCACTAAGTTTTTATAGAACAATTGGCTACAAACATCTGAATATCCTTGTATCACTTGCAATGAGTATTTACATTGTAGCAGCAACCAACCAGTGAGTGACCTATACAGATGTGGGACTAAAAACTTGAAGCCGGAAATCACAAGAAGCAGACAAACTAGGAGAGAAAAAAAGAAAAAAAAAGTTGAAGCTGGTGCTGGGTGCAGTGGCTCACACCTGTAATCCCAGCATTTAGGGAGGCCAAGATGGGCTGATCACCTGAGGTCAGGGGTTCGAGACCAGCCTGACCAACATGGAGAAACCTCATCTCTACTAAAAATACAAAATTAGTCAGGCATGGTAGCACATGCCCATAATCCCAGCTACTTGGGAGGCAGAGGCAGGAGAATAACTTGAACCCAGGAGAATAACTTGCTATAACCAAGATCACGCCATTGCACACCAGCCTGGGCGAGAAGAGCAAAACTCCATCTCCAAAAAAATCTTGAAGCCTTGCTTCCCTGTATAACATATACTAATGATCTGATTATAAGTGAAAACCCTTAATCCTGGCAGATCAAATTGATAATTTTATCTTCAAAATTATCTATAGAAATAGATTACAGAAAAAGAATCAATCACTTTAGTCCATATACTAACAAGAATTTCTCTCATAAAACATTTCTCAGATATTTAAGGAACTCTGTACTTTCAGGTTCCACTGAGATATTTTATTGCCTAGAGTTTTAGTTGGTTAAACAGAAAGATTTAGATGCTAAAAATGGATTTGCAGGAACTGTGAAAAGACTTGACTATTTCTGTTAAAGACCTTGAATATAGAAGAGATCCAAATTAAATGAAAGTATAGATTTCAAATTTTGAGCTGTCTTAAACAAAATGGATTTTATATAATTGTGGGAAAAGGTAATTTAAAAAAATACAAAAACGATTGGGAAATGGTAAGCAGGATACAACAAAGAAATTCAATAATATGTTAATTATTTGTTTATTTATGATTCTTCATTCCTGATCTCCACAAAGTAAGAAAATAGAAATTAAAGAAAATTGTCTGGGCATGGTGGCTCATGCCTGTAATCCCAGCACTTTGGGAGGCTGAGATGGGAGGATCAGCTGAGGTTAGGAGTTCGAGACCAGCCTGGCCAACATGTCAAAACCATGTCTCTACTAAAAGTACAAAAACTAGCCCCACATGGTGGCAGATACCTGTAATCCCACCTACTTGGGAGGCTGAGGCAGGAGAATCGCTTGAACCCAGGAGGCAGAGGTGGCAGTGAGCCAAGATCACACCACTGCCCTCCATCCTGGGCGACAAAGTGAGACTCTGTCGCAAAAAAAAAAAAATAATGGAGGAGTAGTAGAAGATATAGTGACAGTAGTGCTAGAAACTATCATTTAGATACCAAACTTGCAATGAGTTTGATGATTACACACACACACACACACGTTCACCTTTTTGTATATATTTTTAAGAGAATGGAAAACTTTCCATCACCAAGGATTTTGGCAACTCACCTCCACTATGACAAATTACCTGGGTCTATCTTCAAGAATAAAGCCAAGGTGAGTGTCCTTTCCTACTGATAATTCTTTGAAATCTCTATGTATAGATACAGGTTTTTTGGAAGTATATCATGAGTTTGCTCCTCCCCATAGAAGTTTAATAAATGAAGTGTGACATTTAGGTTTTTTGTTATTGTTTCTTTCTTCACATCTATTTGCTATAGTTGCAGTCAAATGCATTTTCAACAAGAATATAAAACATATGCATAGAATAAAATGTTTCATTTATTTATTTTGAGATGGAGTGTCACTCTGTCGCCCAGGCTGGAGTGCAATGGCACGATCTCAGCTCGATGCAACCTCTACCTCCCAGGTTCAAGCAATTCTCCTGCCTCAGCCTTCTGAGTAGCTGGAACTACAGGTGCATGCTACCACATCCAGCTAATTTTTTTGTGTTTTTAGTAGAGACAGGGTTTCACCATGTTGGCCAGGATGGTCTCAATCTCCTGACCTTGAGATCTGCCTGCCTCGGCCTCCCAAAGTGCTGGGATTAGAGGCATGAGCCACCACACCCTGCCAGAATAAAATGTATGTTATAATCTTTTTTGTTTGTTTGTTTTTGTTTTTTTGGGACGGAGTTTCACTCTTGTTACCCAGGCTGGAGTGCAATGGCGCGATCTCGGCTCACCGCAACCTCTGCCTCCTGGGTTCAAGCAATTCTCCTGCCTCAGCCTCCCAAGTAGCTGGGACTACAGGTGCGCATTACCATGCCCAGCTAATTTTTGTATTTTTTTTTTAGTAGAGATGGGGTTTCACCATGTTGACCAGGATGGTCTCCATCTCTTGACCTCATGATCCACACGCCTCGGCCTCCCAAAGTGCTGGGATTATAGGCGTGAACCACCGTGCCCGGCCATAATCTGTTTTACAGTAAGTAAATTTCAGAATCCCACTAGAATATGTAGAGTGTTTAACAACAAAAAAAATACAATCTAGTAAAATGAGAAAAAAAATATTCCTTTTTTTCTTTCTGGTGAGCACTATTTACCTGAGGCCTAAAACTATTTTTTAAATTTTATTTAAATTTTTTATAGAGACAGCATCTCACTATGTTGCCCAGGCCTGTCTTGAAGTCTTGGCCTCAAGAGATCCTTCAGCCGCCAAGGCCTCCCAAAGTGCTGAGAATCCAGGCATGAGCCGCCATACCGGGCCAAAACTATTTTATTTCTCAATTTCACATATAGTTACAAACTTCACAGCAATGCATGCAGGACTATACGTGATTTGACTATTCTTACCATTTGTTTAAACATGTTTTATTAATCAGTATTGATATATTTCTTATCATTACTACTTTTTACCCAACCTTTTTTATTTCCTCTGACCTGATCTCCCCTCTATTCCTTATTTCCTGGTATCTTTTTTTCTTTCTCAGAAGAAAATGATTTGAATTAGTTACAATCAAGATTTACACTCCTGGTGGAGGAGGAGAATTAAAAAAAATATATATTTACACTCCCTGCTGGACATGGTGACTCATACTTATAATCCCAGCACTTTGGGAGGCCAAGGCGGCCAGATCACTTGAGGTCAGTAATTCAAGACCAGCCTGGCCAACATGGTGAAACCCCATCTCTACAAAAAATATTAGGTTGGCGCCAAAGTGGTTGCGGTTTTTGCACTACTTCTAATGGCAAAAACTGCAATTACTTTGACCCCAACCTTATAGAAATATCCAGGTGTGGTGGCACGTGCCTATAATCTCAGCTACTTGGAAGGCTGAGGCAGGAGAATCATTTGAACCCAAGAGGCAGAGGTTGCAGTGAGCCAAAATCTTGCACTGCTCCCCAGCCTGGGCAACAGAGTGAGACCTCGTCTCAAGAAGAAAAAAAAATTAAACTCATGCTGACGCTAGCAAGAAGAATGGGAGAATAGTGAAGTAAGAGCAAAGAAGGCAAAAGAGGAAAACTGTAAAGGTAACTACAATTTCAATGGCAACAGGTAGGAGGGGAAGCAATAGAAGAAAGGGAAAATCAGAAAGCAAATGTTAGGGAAGTGGAGGTTTAGAAGGAGCAGCTTTGTGGCCATGACACAAGAATCCTAACAGCTTAAAATATCTTACAGGTCATCTACAGTAATTCCCATTGGATGTTTGAATTTTACTAAGTGGCTGGACCATGATTGAGCACCTCCAGTGACAAAGATCTGTACCCCCTAATCCAACTTTAAATAGTGCTGTTAAATATTTTTTCCTTATATTGAGAATCTATATGTCTGAAATATGATTTTAACACATAATTTCCCGTTTAATGCAGTGAACATATTTTTCCTTAGTGTCTCTATAATAAACAGAACTGAAGTAATTTATAAAGCGTTGGATGTGGGGTATGCAGGCTTTTGAACAGAGTTTTACTTTTGTAAGAATACAAGGGCAAGAAAAAAGCAATATCAACACAGTATTTTGGGAGACCGAGGCAGGAGCATCACTTGAGCTCGGGAGTTCAAGCCCAGCCTGGTCAACACAGTGAGACTCCTAGCTCTACAAAAAATACAAAAATTAGGCCAGGCGTAGTGGCTCACACCTGTAATCCAAGCACTTTGGAGGCCAAGGCAGGCAAATCACCTGAGGTCAGGAGTTCAAGACCAGCCTGACCAACATGGTGAAACCCCATCTTTAAAAAAAAAAATACAAAAACTACCCTGACATGGTGGTACACCCCTGTAGTCTCAGCTACTTGGGAGGCTGAGGTGGAGGATTGCTTGAGCCCCAGAGGCAGAGGTTGTAGTGAGCAAGATTGTGCCACTGTACTCCAGCCTGTGTGACAGAGTCAGACAATCTCAAAAACAACAGTCCAGGTGCGGTGGCTCACGCCTGTAATCCCAGCACTCTGGGAGGCTGAGGCGAGTGGATTATCTGAGGTCAGGAGTTCAAGACCAGCCCGGCCAACATGGTGAAACCCTGTTTCTACTAAAAATACAAAAAAAATTAGCTGGGTATGGTGGTGGGTGCCTGTAATCCCAGCTACGCAGGAGGTTGAGGCAGGAGAATCACTTGAACCCAGGAGGCAGGTGTTGCAGTGAGCTGAAATCGTGCCTTTGCACTCCAGCCTGGGTGACAAGAGCGATCTCAAAAAACAACAACCAAAGAAAACAAACAAACAAAGAAAAAACAAGAGCAACAGCAGGGAGGCAAGACGTTGATGTGGGGAATTTGTTCCTACTCCAGCCAATTAGCCCTCACATTCCAATTTATGTCTTCATAAACTTACAAACTGCTACAAGCCAGGGCAACTGAGTGGTAGTTAAAGCCTCAAATATAAAACCTTTAAATGACAAGAATCTACTATATTTGGACTGGGGGCAGGGGTGAGTGTTGTATCTAAGCACAAGACAAGATCCAGACCCATGATCTCAGCTCAATTTTATTCTGTTAGTTAAATTCTTTAGACAGTCAAGGTATTTTGAGATCCTGATTCCCTCCCACTTTCATGTTATTTACAAATGTGATAAATATAGCTTCTATATCTTTACCTAAATCATTCATTAAAACATCAGCTATCACACAGCCAAGATGGTAAAAAGGCTTATTAAAGACCTCCTGGAAGGTTTATATTAGTTAATTAACTATTTAGCCTCCTTTGTACGTGAGTACCCAGTCAGTTTTTTTTTGGTTTGTTTGTTTGTTTGTTTTTGAGATGGAGTCTTGCTCTGTTGCCCAGGCTGGAGTGTGCAATAGCACAATCTTCACTCATTGCAACTTCTGCCTCCCAGGTTCAAGCAATTCTCCTTCCTCAGCCTCTTGAGTAGCTGGGATTACAGGTGCGCAACACTGCACCTGGCTAATTTTTGCATTTTTAGTAAAGTCAGGGTTTCCCCATGTTGGCCAGGCTGGTCTTGAACTCCTGACCTCAAGTGATCCACCTGCCTCAGCCTCACAAAGTGCAGGGATAACAGGCATAAGCCACCATGCCCGGCCCCCAGTCAGTTTTATATGCCTAACTGCTTCTACTTCTGGCTTACATTCTTACTTTATTTGAAAAAGAAATCATAAGCCACTCCACCTACTAATCTAAAGACCATGTTGAAAAAATCCGGGTGTTAGCTGACTTGTTCTTAGAGGACTCATGTTGCTCCCTGTTGATTACTGTTTTATGTGGCTCCAAATCTTGTTTTTAGTCAGTTCTGGACCTCTCCCAAATGAAAGTGAATATCACAAATCTGCACTTTGCAAAATCCACCTTTCCCCTTTCTGAAAGCAAAATGACTTCTGCCTGTTTCTAGTTGTCTGGCCTCACATGTTTTCAGATTCCTCAGAATTCAGGAACATGCTGGATCATGTGTCCTCCAATTTCCTCAGTTCTCGAAATGGAAGGCTTCAGGGCAGAAGCTGAACTCGGAGCAGATGTGTGATCCTCTGCAGCCTTTACATTCTCTTGAATTTCAGTCTGCTCTTTAAAATGGTTATTTCACACTACTCATCCAAAGGAACACTTTTTTTTTTTTTTTTTTTTTTTTGAGACAGAGTCTCACTCCTGTCTCCCAGGCTGGAGTGCAATGGTGTGACCTGGGCTCACTGCAACCTCCGACTCCTGGGCTCAAGCAATTCTGCCTCAGCCTCCTGAGTAACTGATATTATAGGCACACGCCACCATGCCCAGCTAATTTTTGTATTTTTAGTAGAGATGGGGTTTCACCATGTTAGCCAGGCTGGCCTCAAACTCCTAATCTCAGGTTATCCACCTGTTTCGGCCTCCCAAAATTCTGGGATTACAGGTGTGAGCCACCACACACGGCCCAAAGGAATGCTTTTCTTATCAGAGAAGACAGATACAGGAATTCAGACATTCTTTTTCATCACTCACCCATAAACATCGTACCCAGAGAGTGTTCTTTGTCATTTTTAATCTTCTCCTACCAACTCTAAAATTATTTTTGTCATCCTTCCCATTATTTGTAATTTTTATTTGGGGGTTTAAGCTTTCAGATCATACTCTTGTAATTATCCTAGTGAGCTTGCTCTTTTTTTCCTTTTTACATCTTCTATGCATCTTATTACCTAAATTCATTAGCAAAAATCCGCTGCTACAATATCAGTCTTTTTCTTCTTTCTCTCTCTCTTTTCCCCAGATTTCCTCATCAGCCACCCCTTGTTCCTCAATTTCCTGCTGTCATTCTCTCTATATATATTAACACAATTATGTAATACATGAGTGGACACGATGATATTGCTCACCCTTTCAATTTTCCAAATTTCAAAACATAGCCCTAAATAAATTAACTCAGTTTTTATTCCCTAGATATTGGTGATATTTCGAAACCCTAAAGATACAGCAGTATCTTTTTTCCATTTCCATAATGATGTCCCTGATATTCCAAGCTACGGCTCTTGGGATGAATTCTTCAGACAGTTCATGAAAGGACAAGGTATGGCTATTGGTAAAAGAATTCTTACTTGATCAGACGACCACATACATGTGAAAACCCAAATGTGTTTTAGGGTAAAGGAAGAAGATTTAGGTAGATCTGGGAACCAAAAAGTTACATTTGAATGAACTGTTATAGCACTATTAGTTCTGGGTATCCAACAATTCAATGCATTACTGTTTTAAAAACTAATTTGGGGCTGGGTATGGTAGCTCATGCCTGTAATCCCAGCACTTTAGGAGGCCAAGGCGGGTGGATCATGAGGTCAAGAGATCGAGACCATCCTGGCCAACATGGTGAAACCTTATCTCTACTAAAAATACAAAAATTAGCTGGACGTGGTTGCTTATGCCTGTAATCCCAGCTATTTGGGAGGCTGAGGCAGGAGAATCGCTTGAATCCAGTAGGCAGAGGTTGCAGTGAGCAGATATGGTATCATTACACTCCAGTCTAAGCGACAAGAGTGAAACTCTGTCTCAAAAAAAAAGCTAAATCACTTGCCAATGCTTGTAAGTGGCAGTGACTCTACATCCATGGGTATAGTGGCCAGAGACCAGTAACTGATTTCTTTTATTAGTGCTCTTTTGAGTCTCTACAGTGTATTAGATGGGATATTAAAGCCCAGTGATCCTAAAGGAGAAGCTGTTGTCAGTTCACAGGTCTACTTTTTTTTAAATTTATTTTTTGCTGTATATATTTAAGGTGTACAACATGATGTTTCACCATATACATAATGAAATGATGAATACAATCAAGCAAATTAACATATTCATCATGTCACACAATTACCTTTTTGTGTTTAGTAAGAGCACCTAAAATCTAACTCTTTTAACAAATATTACATAGTGTAAAATACAATATCATTAACTGTCATCTTCATGCTGTACATTAGATCTCAAGACACTCATAACTGATTAATTCATAACTACATAACAGCAAGTTTGTACGTTTTGACTTACATCTTCCCATTTCCTCCCATTCCGCACCCCTGTAACCGCCATCCTACTCTCTATTATGTATTTGACTTTTCAAAGATTCAACATATAAGTGAGATCATGCGGTATTCTTCTCTTTACTTTTTTTTTTTGAGACAAGGTTTCACTCTGTCACGCAGGCTGTAGTGCAGCGGTGCGGCTCACTGCAGCCTTGACCTTCTGGGCTAAAGTGATCCTCAGTCTCCTAAGTAGCTGAACCACAGGCATGTACTACCATGCTCCGCTGATTTTGTTTCTTTTTGTAGAGATGGAGCCTCACTATATTGCCCAGGTTCCATTTTGTGTCTGGATTATTTTGGTTAACATAATGTCCTCCCTCCGTGTTATTGTCAATGATGATGAGAAACTTGTCATCTGTGGGACAATCTATTTTAGGGACTCTTTGTTTCCCTATCCATCCTTGGAGAAGTTTGTTTTTCTCATTTAAGAGGAAGTCTGAAGGTAAGCAGCTGGTTCCCGGGATCTCTGGCCTGTACCTCTGATATTCCCTTGGCCTCTCTCTCATACTTTTTACAATATACCCTGAAATTGCCTACTATCCTTCTGGTCATCACCTTTAGGTCATGAAAAAGGAGGAAGGATAGCAGCAGCCAAATGTGTTCCTGTTGGAAATAGATGCTCGGTGCTACAAAGAAAAATCAGCACTGAGACAAAGGATCTAGTTTTCAGTGTTTCTACCAAAAAGAGAAAGAAAAAAAAAAAAGGATCTCTCAGCAAAACAATTTTTACTTCCTACAGGAAAGGTACCCTCACTAGCTATTTTGCCACAAGAGTACAATGAACAAAGGAAAGGCAGACATATTTATCCCATACACATTTGGGGTTGTCCTTACTGCTATGTCTGATCTCCATTGGTTAGAACCAGACCTCACAATCTAAACTAAAACCTGATTGGCTAATAACTTAAAACTTTTCTAAACAGGTAATAGCAATAGAGAAGTTTAAATAAGGAAGGGATATAGACTGCAAGCTGAGACATGCCTGTGAGCACATCCAGCACAGATATATACATTAAAGTACAAGGACGTAGAATATACTATGTGCCTATAAGCATGTCTAACAGCTACATAGGAAAGGGCTTAACAAAGAGTTATTAGCAAAAAGCAAGAAGGATTTATTCTTTAATAAGAAAGAAAACTTTGAAGAGGAACTTTTCTACTTCCCACAGTTCCTTAGTTCCACACAGCAATAATTTTGCCAGAAACCTTCCTGTAGACTCTTGCTTGTGTCTCACTGGGCAGAACCATTTCATGTGGCCAATTACAGCTCTAAGGAAGGCAGGAAATGGAGAAACAGAATTCTCATGATCAGCTTAGACCCAAATCATCAGGGTTTGGTTAGATTGTATTAGATAATGAGTAGGTAACTTACGGTATGTGCAGCAGCAAATAAAATACATAAAACTGCCTGGCTCAAAGCAAGGGCTTCATGATAATGATGATCATGATAATACTAATAATAACAATAGTAATGGGTATTGAGGCCAGGCGTGGTGACTCACACCTGTAATCCCAGCACTTTGGGAGGCTGAGGTGGGTGGATCACCTGAGGTCAGCAGTTCAAGACCAGCCTGACCAATATGGTGAAACCCTGTCTCTACTAAAAATACAAAAATCAGCCAGGCATGATGGCATGTGCCTGTAGTCCCAGCTATTCAGGAGAATGAGACAGGAAAATTGTTTGAACCCAGGAGGCAGAGCTTGCAGTGAGCAAAGATCGCACCACTGTACTCCAACCCGGGCAACATAGCAAGACTCTGTCTCAAAAAAAAAGAAAAAAAAAAAGGCTATGGAGTGATACTATGAAGCAGGCACTGTTTTTAGCATTTGAAGTGTGTTAATTCATTTAAGTCTCATAATGTCTCATTTTACAGATGAGGAATCTAAGGTATAGAGAGTTTTAGGGAGTTGCTCAAAGTCACACAGCCAGTAAACAGCACAGCTGATCATTGTCTAGAACTGCATTGCTCAATGTGGTGGCCACCAGCCATATGTGACAACTGAGCACTTGAAACAGGACTGGTGCAACTAAGCAACTAAATTTTTCATTTAAAAATTTTTTAATTCAAATTTTTAAATGGATATACAATTCAGTTACTGGAAAACATAAGTAAGTTTGTAATAAATTGGGTATGTGAATATACTTTTTAAATTATAAGTTTTATTGAATCTAAATATACATCAAGTGTTTTCAATAAAAATTCAGCATCCAAATTGAGATTCTCAGTATATGTCTAATACTCAATGGTTTTTGAAGATTTAGACTATTTAAAAAATGTAATGTTTCACTCATAGATTTTTGTTGATTATGTGGTGGAATAATATCTGATAAATTGGGTTAAGTGGAGTAGAACATTAAAATTAATTTCATTTGTTTCTTTTGCTTTTTAAAATTATATGTATTAAAAATTATATATTTTTATTGAACAAGGATAGTCCAGAAAATATCTTTCTAATTTCTTTCTAGAATTATCTCTGTTGGCTTTCATGTGTCATTCACTATTTCTGAATGTTTTTATCCACCTGAATACTCCTGAATGTCTCGTAGTCTTTATAAATCACTTTTATAACTTGCTGAATTTTGTGTTATTTATGAAAACTGTTTCAAAAGGTACAAAAATGAATAGAAATTTAGACAATGGGACTGATTCATGTCAGCTTTTTGGTGGCCAGGATTTACAATAACATAAATACGTCTCAAGCATATACACATATGTATAGTTTATATTTTATAGCATAAATCATCATTTTAACCTCAGTTATTCAAAATTTCTTAAAGCATTCCCCCCTGTGTTTTTAGTTTCTTGGGGAAGCTATTTCGATTTTGCAATTAATTGGAACAAACATCTTGATGACGACAATGTTAAGTTCATATTATACGAAGACCTGAAAGAGGTGAGACTATTATGATATTTTAGAGCAATATTTATTGTAAACCACAGCAGAGAGCACTTACTTATAATGTCTGATTATATGAACAAATACAGTGTTCAATTTTTAAAAACTTTCCAGATATATGGTACAGTGCTGGAAAAGGAAAATCAAACCATGCATACACGCTTAGGGTGTTTATTTAACAGAAATGAAATAATGCTTAGCAACTTATTACTAAAGGTGACTGCTGTATTTTTCCTTTATGATGGATAGCTCAAATTTGCAATGAAAATAAATAGGTAGGTCTCAGTTGATTTAATTGAACTTACATTTGGTTGTGGACTAACTTATCCAGTTAAGTTTTTTTTTTAATTGTTTATTGATGTAACAAATATCTAGTGAGTGATTGTTCACTGATTAGGCCCTGGTGATACATCAATGAATAGACCAGAGAAAGATCGCTGCCCTGGAATAGGTTGCATGCTAGTTGGAGAAAGTGGAAAGAAAGAATGATACATAATAAACACAATAAATTTTAAAATGTATATAGTGTGTGAGAAAAAAGGAAACAGCATAGCTGATGAAAGAAAATTAAAAATGCTGAGAGGCACTGGGCGTGGTGGTCACACCTGTAATCCCAGCACTTTGGGAAGCTGAGGCGGGTCAATCACGAGGACAGGAGTTCAAGACCAGCCTTGCCAAGATGGTGAAACCCCATCTCTACTAAAAATACAAACGTTAGCCAGGCATGGTGGCAGATGTAATTCCAGCTCCTCGGGATGCTGAGGCACAAGAATTGCTTGAACCCAGGAGGTGGAGGTTGCAGCGAGCCAAGATTAGGCCATTGCACTCCAGCCTGGGCTACAGATCGAGACTCCATCTCAAAAAAAAAAAAATTAGGCATGTGCCTGTAGTACCAGCTACTCAGGAAGCTGAGACAGGAGGATCATTTGAGCCTAGGAGATGGAGGCTGCAGTGAGCCATGATTAGGACCCCACACTCCAGTCTGGGTGACAAGTAAGATCCAGTATCAAAAAAAAAAAAAAGAAGGTTAGGAGAGACCTTATTGAGAGGATGTGATTTGAGCAAAGATCTCTGGGAACTGGAGGAGTGAGCTGTGTAGGTAACTGGGAAAGAGCATTTCTGGCAGAGGGAATCAACTGGAGCAAAGGCTGGGATAGTCCTGGTGAGATTAAGACACAGCAGATATGCCTGAGTTAGTAGGAATAAAACAGGGCTGAACCGCCAGTAAGGACAGAGTCAAGGAGGTAGGATGGGCTATGAGGGATAGAGTGGCAGGCCATTTATTCTGGCTTTCACTTTGAGGAAAGTGGGAAGCCACTGTGGGATCTGAGCAGAGGAGTGATTGGAGCAGAAGTGTTTTTAACAGGATCATTTTGGCTGGGTGTGAGAATGAACTGGTGTAAAGTGAATGCTAGGAGAGCTGTGAAGAGGGCACTGCAATAGTCCAGGCAAAGGAAGATGGTGGCTTAGGCCAAGAAGGGGCATGCAGGGGATAAGAAGAGGTTGGATTCTGGACAAATGTTGAAGGAAGAGCCAACAGGATTTGCTGCTGAATTGGATGGAGGGGAGAGTGGTAAAAGAAGGAGAGAAGTCACAGTAAGCCTGACCAATAATATTGAGGGTTGAGTTGTCATCAGTTGAGTGGGAGATGGCAGCAGGTGAAGGACTGTGGGGAAAATCAGAGGTTTGGTTTTGGACACCTTAAGTTAGAGATGTTTATTAGTCATTGTAATTGAGAGGTCAAGTAGGCAGTTGGGCATACAAGTTTTGCAAGTAGAGAGAGTTCTGGGCCATAGATGAAATTTGGGAATCGCTGACACATAGATGTGCTTTGAAGTCATGGAAATATATACCTGGGTATACAGATAGAGAAGGCGACCAAGAACTGAAACTTGGAGCCCACCAATTTAAAGAGTTTGGGGAAAAAGCAAAGGAGACCAGGAAGGGGTAGCTACTGAGGTAGCAAGGACAGCAGAGTCCTGCAATCTCAGTGGAGTAGGCATGTTAAAGGGAAGGGAGTGTCAAGTGCTCCTTAACGTAATCGAATTTCTAACACCAGTCTTCTATTACATTCTTATACAAAGAAAGTGTGGTTTAGGCCTGGCATGGTGGCTCATGCCTGTAATTCTAGCACTTTGGGAGGCTGAGGTGGATGTGAATCATGAGGTTAGGAGTTCGAGACCAGCCTGACCGACATGGTGAAACCCCATCTCTACTAAAAATACAAAAATTAGCCAGGCATGGTGGCAGGTACCTGTAATTCCAGTTGCTCAGGAGGCTGAGGCAAGAGAATCACTTGAACCCGTGAGGTGGAGGTTGCAGTGAGCAGACACCGAGCCATTGTACTCTCCAGCCTGGGCAACAGAACAAGACTCCATCTCAAAAAAAAAAATGTGGTTTAGGCCAGTGTGGTGGCTTACACCTGTAATCCCAGCACTTTGGGAGGCCAAGACGGGAGGATCACCTGAGATCAGGAATTTGAGACCAGCCTGGCCAACATGGTAAAACCCTGTTTCTACTAAAAATACAAAAATTAGCTGGGCATGGTGGTGTGCACCTGTAATCCCAGCTACTCGGGAGGCTGTCAGGAGAATTGCTTGAATCCAGGAGGCAGAAGTTGCAGTGAGCCAGGATCGTACCACTGCACTCCAGTCTGGGCAACGAGAGCAAAACTCCATCTCAAAAAAAAAAAAAGTGTGGTTTAATCTATTTTTTGTGTTTATAGAATGCATTTTATAATATCAACCTATTAATTCTAGTTTAGAATAATGTTTCTGAAACTCATTCACTAAAGACTGCCAGTGTTGTCCCAGCTGTTCGTAATTATTTCTTGAGGTCTGGGAGGAGGTTGTTTATTTAAATAGATTTAGGAACTGCTGTATTCTATAGCCTGCTTTCTTGGAGATTCATATTATGCACTGGTCTATTAAGGACTATGAGAGCCACCTGGGCAACATGGTGAAACCCCGTCTCTACAAAAATACAAAAATTAGCCATATGTGATGGCACACACCTGTTGTACCAGCTACTCAGAAGGCTGAGGTAGGAGGATGGCTGGAGCCCAGGTAGTCGAGGCAGCAGTGAGCCATGATTGTGCCCTTGAACCACTCTAGCCTGGGCAGCAGAGCAAGACCCTGTCTAAAAAAAAAAAAATTCCTTCAAGTTTGTATGATTCTAAAAACTAGACTTTCTTAATGGAATTAAACATTAGCTATAAATAGAATTCAGAAAAAAAGATAATTCAAAGGAGTACATAGAAATACATTAATTTCCTCAGTTGGTCTAGACTGGTGCTTTTAAAATACAATTAATATTATTCTAGATTAATTATAATTTAGAATTATAAGCTGTAAATTAATGTTACTGTTATTTACATACTAAAAAACTATTAATCTGGTAAGTTCAACAAGAGTCATAAGTTGAAACTACAAAGTATAACCAATACAGAATATCTTATAGAGATATCTCAATACTTATCTAAGAGGATAAAAGTACTCTAAGTTTAAAGGGAGGGATAAACAGATGAGCTAGGGAGTTAGGCTTAATAACTCCAGTGGCTAAAAAGTCTGTCTTAGTGCAGAGAACAATTCCCATAGAAGTTTATCTTTAAGAAATTTTTTTTTTACAGCATCTGGCTGCTGGAATAAAACAGATTTCGGAGTTCTTGGGATTCTTTCTAACTGGGGAGCAAATTCAAACTATCTCAGTCCAGAGCACTTTCCAAGCAATGCGAGCGAAATCTCAGAACACACACGGTGCTGTCGGTCCATTCCTTTTCCGCAAAGGTAAAGTTGCATTGGTTTCTAGGATTGTATCAGTTAGGGACTGACTTTGCACACAAAAGGTAATCCAAATAATTTCATCTTAAATAGGATAGGGTTTCATTTTTCTCTGCCTCAGTAACTGGCAGCCCCATATATAATCTTTTAGACTCCTATCTGCTGTTGAGAGTCCTTTGTGATTAATCACCTTCTGAAAACAAGATAGCAGCTGATGCTCAACTATTATGTTCAAATTCAGATAGGAGAAAGTGAGTGGGCAAAAGGCAGAATCGTATTAGCTGAGTGAGCCTTTTTAAAAGAACTTTCCTGGAAGCCCCATCAGTGACTTTTCTTTTTTTTTTTTTTTTGAGACAGAATCTTGCTCTGTTGCCCAGGCTGGAGTGCAGTGGCACAATCTTGGCTCACTGCAACCTCTGCCTCCCAGGTTCAAAAGATTCCTGTGCACATCACCATGCCTGGCTAATTTTTTTTGCATTTTTAGTAGAGACCAGGTTTCACCATATTGGCCAGGCTGGTCTCAAACTCGTTTCCCAAAGTGCTGGGATTACAGGTGTGAACCACTATGCCTGGCCAATGACTTCTTTCTCTTCTTTCTCTCTCTCTTTTTTTTTTTTTGAGACAGAGTCTCATTCTGTCGCCCAAGTTGGAGTGCAGTAGTGTGATTGCAGCTCACTGCAACCTCCACCCCCTGGGTTCAAGTGATTCTCCTGCCTCAGCCTCCTGAGGAGCTGGGATTACAGGAACTCATCACCATGCCTGGCTAATTTTTGTATTTTTAGTGGACATGGGGTTTCACTATGTTTACCAGGCTGGTCTCCAACTCCTGACCTCAGGTGATTGGCCTGACTTGGCCTCCCAGAGTGCTGCGATTACAGGTGTGAGCCACCAAGCCTGACCAATGACTTCTTACATTTCATTGGCCACCTTCCTTGCAGTGGTGACTGGGAAATGTGACTTTTTAAAGCTGGGCATATTACCACCCGATTAAAATGAGGGTTTTGTCAATGAGGAAGAAGGAGAAAATGAGTATTTGATAGGCAACGAGTTGTCTCTGACATGGATTATTTTTACTATATTTCATTAAAGTATTCTAAATTCTTGTGGAAATATATGACAATATAGCTTAAGGACTGCCAGTGTTATTTTGTATTGAGTAGATAATGAAATAATGAGATGTAGAGGTAGCACATATACCAGCAAGGACAACAACAGCTAACATCAGGCATCTATCATGTATTACACTTTTTGTTGGGCTTACATTTTATTGTATAAAAAAACACTGAAGTTCTTGATTTTATAAATGTAGGAATCAAAGCTCAGGAATATTAATTTTTCATTGTCACATAGTTAATAAGCAGTGGAGTCAGGATTTAAGCCTAAGCCTACATGACTCTACTATACTTTTTCAAATGAAAACTTGTTTTTGAAATATACTGCGAGGCTGGGCCCAGTGGCACAAGCCTGTAATCCCAGCACTTTGGGAGGCCAAGGTGGCTGGATCACAAGGTCAGGAGTTCGAGACCAGCCTGGCCTATATGGTGAAACCCCACCTCTATTAAAAATACAAAAACTAGGTGGGTGTGGTGGCATGCACCTGCAGTCCCAGCAACTTGGCAGGCTGAGGCAGGAGAATAGAATCACTTGAACCTAGGAGGTGGAGCTTGCATTGAGCCCAGATTGTACCACTGCACTCCAGCCTGGGCAACTGAGGGAGACTCCATCTCAGAAAAAAAAATAAAAATTAATAAAAAATAAAATAAAAACTGTGAGTGGAACATTGAATGTAAACCTAACTTTGGTTAGATTCCTAACCCCCATTTGTATGCCTTGTTTTATTAGCTTTAAGGAGGTTGGAAATAGAACCTTTCTGTACATGGCTAATTAAGTACTATTCAGAATAGGAAAATTCTAAGGTAAATAAAGTAATAGTTTTAAAATTTTATAATATTCCTTGTAGAAAATTCAGAAAGCATAGAAAAATGTGAAGAAGTATTAAAATTGTCCAAATTTCTTCCACCAGAGGTGGATTTAACTTTTTGGCATATTTTCTTCCACCCTTACTCTGTGATGTTTCATAGCTGATGACATTTATAAACAGTTTTGTGTTTTCTTTTATTCCCTTAATATATTGTAAGCATTTCTTCATGTCATTAAACTCTCTTTATTAACATACCTTTCAATAGCTATGCAGTATGGAACTTATAACCTCAACCTAAATGATCAAAAGATCCTTAAGAAAAAAGTAATCTTTCAGTATCTGAGGTCTTAATGAAAACCTGCTATAAAATGTTAATTTTTCAAAGGGTATTTAAAGCCTTTAAGAGACTTTAGAGAGAAACCTATTCTCAAAAAGTAGAATTTTAAGTTCAAGGTGTTGGGAGACAAGTAGGGTTAGGGGATCATTGAGGCTGGTGGCTACTCCAAATGACGTAAAGAAAGCATGTCGGCCTGGTGCAGTGGCTCACGCCTGTAATCCCAGCACTTTGGGAGGCCGAGGTGGGTGGGTCACGAGGTCAAGAAATCGAGACCATCCTGGTCAACATTGTGAAACCCCGTCTCTACTAAAAACACAAAAAAATTAGCTGGGCATGGTGGCGCGTGCCTGTAATCCCAGCTACTCAGGAAGCTGAGGCAAGAGAATTGCCTGAACCCAGGAGGCAGAGGTTGCGGTGAGCCGAGATTGTGCCATTGCACTCCAGCCTGGGCAAGAGCGAAACTCCGTCTCAAAAAAAAAAAAGAGGAAGAAAGCATGTCACCTCCCACACCACAGATGGTGGAGTCCCAATGGACATTGTTAATTTTACGACAGAAATTACGTTAAGTTTTAAGAGTGTAAAACTTTCGGCTGGGTGCGGTGGATCACACCTGTACCCAGCAATTTGGGAGGCCGAGGCAGGCAGATCAACTGAGGTCAGGGGTTTGAGACAAGCCTGGCCAACATGGTAAAACCCCATCTCTAATAAAAATACAAAAATTAGCTGGGCATGATGGTGGGAGCTTGTAATCACAGCTACTCAGGAGGCTAAGCAAGGAAGAATTGCTTGAACCCAGCAAGTGGAGGTTGCAGTGAGCCTAGATTATGCCACTGCACTCCAGCCTGGGCGACAGAGTGAGATACCATCTCAAAAAACAAAAACAAAGAGTGTAAAACATTTTTCATATGTCCATTTTAACATATCAGAGTGAAATATTGCACCAAAAGTGGTAAAATCGTGAAGAAATATTCTAACAGATGTCTGGGTCTACTGTTTTTTGTGTGTTGTAGGTGAAGTTGGTGATTGGAAAAATTTGTTGAGTCGAACTCAGAACCAGGAAATGGATGAAAAATTCAAAGAGTGCTTAGCAGGCACTTCCCTAGGAGCAAAGTTGAAGTATGAATCATATTGCCAGGGTTGATTCCAGTCAATTCAGCAGGACTCAATTGTTTTTCCTTAATAATAATTAAGTTTAAATAATTGAATGATAATTCAGTCAAATAATCAAATAATTAAATAATATTGAAATCTAAACAATACAAATTTAATAATAATGATAACATCTGAAATTTTTAAATACGAATGTAAGTTTGTTCACTTTTTCAGGGAAGGGCATTTTAGCTGTCCCAAAGGGACACTGTGATTAATGCATCACACTGGAGTTTTAACTTATTTCATGCTCTAGGTTCACATAAGAGGGTAAGCAGATACTACCAGAGACATACCTAGAGCTGCATTTGCCCATAGATGACACAGGCCTCCAAATGATACACAGTTTTCTGTACTTTCCTCATAATATAACTCCTTTCTTACTATGGATAAAAGCACTTGAGGTGTCTATCTCAGACTTACTGGGAGAGAGTTAATACCAACTCTGCAATAAATTCCATTCTAATTTGGTTCAAGAAAAAATGCATTGCTCATCTACTCCATGAATGCCATTGCAGTAGGCTTTAGGAAGGCTCGCTCTCAAGGGACTTTATATTTCTACTTAATATGCTCTTTCATTCAATTCAAAGCTAAAGGTAAGAGATTTTTGTTATTCTACCATAAAGACTTTTTCTTTTTTTTGAGACAGAGTCTCACTCTGTCACCCAGGCTGGAGCACAGTGAGACAATCTCGGCTCACTGCAACCTCCGCCTCCCAGGTACAAGCAATTCTCCTGCCTCAGCCACCCGAGTAGCTGGGATTACAGGTGCGCACCACCACGCCCAGCTAGTTTTTGTATTTTTAATAGAGGCAGGGTTTCCCCCTGTTGGCCACACTGGTTTCCAACTCCTGACCTCAGGTGATCCACTTGCCTCGGCCTCTCAAAGTGCTGGGATTACAGGTGTGAGCAACCACAACTTGCCCATAAAAACTTTTTCTACCACAGAGCCTCAAGTAGTCATGTGGAACTTACAAGACAAGACAGAAAATATTCTAGAAAGGAAGAATTCTGTCCGGGCAAGGTGGCTCACACCTGTATCCCAACACTTTGAGAGGCTGAGGAGGGTCGATTACTTGAGGTCAGGAGTTCCAGACCACCCTGGCCAACATGACAAAAATCCCATCTCTACCAAAAATACAAAAATTAGCCGGGCTTGGTGGCATGCACCTGTAATCCCAGCTACTGGGGAGGCTGAGGCAGGAGAATCGTTTGAACCTAGGAGGCAAAGGTTCCAGTGAGCTGAGATCATGCCACTGCACTCTAGCTTGGGCAGCAGAGTGAGACTTTGTCAAAAAAATAAAAAAAGAAAGGAAGGAAGGAGGAAAGGAAGAAGGAAGGGAGGGAGGGAGGGAAGAAATACTAAATAAAAGGCTAATATCTAGAGTATGTAAAGAACCACTAAAATCAATAGATAAAATAAAATATAGCCTAACAGGGAAAAAAATGTAGCCAGGTGCTGTGGCTCATGCCTGTAATCTCAGTGCTTTGTGGGGCTGAGAAGGAAGAACTGCTCAAAGCCAGCTGGAGAAACATAGCAAGACCTCATCTCTACCAAAAAAAAAAAAAAAAAAACTTAGCCAGGCATGGTGGGGTGTGCCTATAGTACCAGCTACTCAGGAGACTGAGGCAGGAGGATTGCATGTGCCCAGGAGATTGAGGCTGCATTAAGCCATGATTGTGTCACTGCACTCCAGCCTGGGCAACAAAGTGAGACCTTGTCTCTTATAAAAAAACTGTAAAGGATATAGACAGGTAATTTACAGAAGAGGAAATCCAAATGGCAGATAAATAGATAATGAGAAAAATGTAGTAATTAGGAAAATTAAACAACAGTCAGAACAATACTGGGATCTCTGAGAAGGAGTAAACAAATGAGTTGATCTCTACACCTTTCTGAGCGTGCTATCTACAGGCAGTTTCTAAGCTGCAGCACAGGGAAAGGGAACCTAATACAAAAGTCTCATAAAATTGGAGTTGGATATTGGGAGTCAGGCATGCTGAGGAGGCTAGATTTTCAGAGCAGCTTGCTGGGGAAAAGAACAATGTTAAAAATGTAACATAACAAGAATCTCAGAGATCTGCACAGCGAATCCTTCTAATCTTTAACTGAGTGGATATGTGTATGCATGAAATAAAACTTCGCAAAGACAGTGCAAATCTCCCTCCAGACTGGGAAAGGATTACTGAAAAGAAGTGAGCCATTTTCCTGGACTTCATTCAGAGGTGGAAATAGTTTGTGTTCCCACCAGCCAAAGTGGAGCGACTACCAGGGCATTGAGTAGATTTCCTAGAATGGTCAGACCTTAGAAGCAGGGCTAAATTAGCCCTGGAGTAAATTATCCCTAGCCCTGCTATAACAAAAGCAAATGTAGAATGGATTGAAATGAACACAAATAACTTAATTGCTTGCCAGTTTGAAAAAAAAATGTCAGAGAAAAGGTCCAACATTTCAAAAACGCATTTAATAAAATAAAGCCTCAAAAGTATATCTGCCATCCAACAAAGATTTCTCAAGCATACAAAGAAATAGGAAAACATGACCCATATCCAGGAGTAAAAGCAATGAACAGAAACAGATAAATGACTGAGATGATGGAATTAGCAGATAATGATCTTAAAAGAGCTATTATACATTTTATATGTATGCTCAAATAGGTGTAAAAAATGATGAGAAGAGAAATGGATAATGTAAACAGACCCAAATGGAAGTTTTAGAAATGAAAAACACAATATCTGAAAGAAAAAATACACAGGATGAATAAACAGTATATTAGATAGAGAGGAAAAAAACACCAGGGAACTTGAAGACATAGCAATAGAAACTTCTAAATGAAGACAGAAAAAAAATGATTACAGAAAAACATAAACAGACCTTCAGTGACTTATGGGACAATATTGAGCAAATATACATGTAATTGGAATATCAGGAAAAGGAAAGAGGTACAGAAAAAAATAGAAAAAATGACTGAAATTGTTCCAATTCAAATAACTATAAATCTGCAGACTCAAGAATTTCAACAAACCCCAAGCTGAATAAACATAATGAAATGGCCTTGCTGAGAAGCCTATGTGGATAAACGCACACTTATCCTCCATTCCTGCTACCACAGCCTCTTTATTTTTTCGAACAAGCACTGGGATAGCTGGGGAAAAGGCTGACAGAAGTCTTGTTCAACTGCTTCTCAAAGGCCACTTTAGAAGTGTGCCTTTGGTGAACATTCACAAGGGAGCCCAATATGCACACTCTGTCCATTCCAAGTGGTTCACTCATATCATTTCCCTAGACCTCATCACCTACCCTCCAATATCATTCCTTCCAAATCTCTGAACATCAGCTGCATTGCCAGCTGCTAGCTCTGTACAAGCCATTGAAGGAGGGGCCTTTGGATCTTCTTGGGGGCCGTGGTTAGGGAGTAAGTGACTAGGCTGCATGAGATGAATCTACTCCCATATTCCTGACTCCCTAAGTATTTTTTATTTCTTCATCTGCATTACTTGGCATTACATTTTCATTTAGTGTGAGCTGCTACTGAGCTCAGATTACAGTAAACCAAGTGAGCAAACTGGCTTAGTGCTTCCACTGCTGGAGGTAGTACATCAACTTTCAACTTTCTTCATGTCATCTTTAGAGTCACTGTCACACATATTTCTGTGGTTTCTGTGCCTCTTTTGTTGCATAAAGCATCTCCCCTTGATCAGATTTTGTCCATATCCCCTTGGGGCGCATTAGCATCTGGTTCTAGTTTTGGGCGTGAAGACACAGGTAGAGATAGGCTATGTGGAGAATTGGCACCTCCTTGCAGGGTGACTGTTTCATGCTCTTCAATGTAGGCTGTACCAGCCTTATTGGACAATTGTGGAAAGCCTGTGGAGAAACAGCAGAACTCAGGAGGGCAGTGGCACTTGGATTCATTCGAATCCACCCAAATTCCCAGGGCTTCATTTTTTCACAATCGATGCCCTCAATCTTCACATAAGAGACCTGATGAGGCTGCAAATTAAATTTATATTATAATTCTAGGCTGGGCGCAGTGGATCACATCTGTAATCCCAGCACTTTGGAAGGCTGAGGCGGGCAGATCACTTGAGGTCAGGAGTTCCAGGCCAGCCTGGCCAACCTGGTGAAAACCCATCTCTACTAAAGATAAAAAAAAAATAGCTGGGTGTGGTGGCACACGCCAGTAATCCCAGCTACTCAGGAAGCTCAGGCAGGAAAATTGCTTGAGTTTGGGAGACACAGGTTGTAGTGAGCTGAGACTGTGCCACTGCACTCCAGCCTGGGCGACCCAGTGAGACTCCATCACGAAAAAATTATATTGTAATTCTGGTACCTGCAGCACCAAGCTTTGCACCTGGGAAGCCCAGATGGAAGGGAATTGGGCTCCTTAGGGAGCCCAATATGCTCACACTCTGTCCATTTCAAGAGATTCACCCATGTCAAATACAGTAAATTCTAAGTTTCTCTTCAAAGAAATGTACATATGTCAGTATGTTCAGTTTCTCTGTACTTCGTTCTCTACTTTAAAATTTAACTTCCTCATCTCCTTGCCCCTAGTTTCAGTAAACAAGCTTCCAGCCAGTCTAATCAGTAGTTCATATCTGTTCCCCTGGTTACCTGTGCCTATTCCTCTTGCTGAAATCACATGTTCCCCTCGCACATCCCTCTCCTATCTCACATATTTAGAGTCCTGATCCATCCTAGTGTCCTGCCACTTGTAAGTGGCAAAGCCTGGACTCCTGGTTATAATTCTAACTCCACTGCCTACTAGCTGTGTTAATCTAACTCCTCTCTGCCTCAATACTCTTTAGTCCCTGTGCCAATGACTTTGGGACTCTGTGTGACTCTGGGAGTGTGTCACCTGCTCTGTCCTGAGTCACCCTTGGTCACCTGCTCTGACCTGAGTCACTTTTAGTCACCTGTTCTGTAACTGTCTTTCCTGCTGAAACCCATCACCCTGCCACTCTGGCTTGTACCCCTTCTCTCTTTAAAATAGCTAGTTGGAATGAGCTTAGACTGTGTGATCCAACCCTAGCCAATAGGGGAATAACACAGCAGTAGGGGATACCTGCTTCAGGAATAAGAACCCCTTGTTCAAGATGCTCTTGCCATTGCTCCATCTGCAAGATGCACCCTTCCATAGAAGTA